GTATAGAATAAGGAGTTTAAGAATTTGGAAGTATATGAGATGAATAAATGATATAATCTATAGTACTATTGTCTCCAATCTACCTGTCGGACTGTCTTCTTGTTTAAAACGTCGAATCTCACACGTGCTGAAGTCATTAGTATCCTCTGGGCGAGAGACCTGGGAGCGAGTAACGGCTGCGGTGATGATTAGTGTTATTTGTATTGGTTCAGTACATGTGAAATTCGTTTGGAACGGGCTTATAACAACCCGATATTGTTGATATTCGCTCAATATTTGGGTTTTCCAGATTTTGACGGACTGTTGTATGAAGATACTATAAACTGTAAATAAAGTGACCTGTTTTTAAACTAAGCAAATATATTGTGACAAATTTCCAAACATCTAGAGTTTTTAAAGCCATTTATAAAGTGACTATTGTATAACTTGCTCATTTATTGGTTAAAATGTGTTTAGGAGAGCATAGAAATAGAGCTTTTATAACAAGAGCTGCTGTTATTTCAAAAAGGCGTTGTTAGTTCTCCCAACAATTCCAAGTGTTTCTAACAGAGAATCCAAGCACTGCATGTTTTGTACTGGATATCAAAAGTTTTGTTTAATGTGGGTCTATGGGGTGGTTATAAGCATTATATTATAGCAATGTTAATCCTAACAACACATGGAATACACCGCGTCAATTCCCAACGGATTAATTACAGTGACTTTCTTTATCAAAAGTCGTTTGCTTATTAGTCTTATTTGAACTCGTTTATTAATTGCGTTGATAGAAAACACTTTCACGTAGGATATAAATGACAGTATTTTGCAGTTAGTACCAGTGATATCAGCCCGATTGTGACATCCATGAGACCATGCATCAATCAGTGTACGACAAAGCGCTTGCAATCTTTCAAGAAGGCACTAAAMAACTTGAATTACGAACAAAAGCTATCGACAAAGAACGGATTCAGTCAACCATTCAACATAAACTTGAAGAACGAAAAGTTAAACAAGATCTTCTTACGATGATTAAAGAGAAGAATCGCCTTGAAAACAAGTCGAAAAGGAACAGCATTCCAGCGTTAAGACGGGAACAGACTTTTTCTGGAATTGAAACACTGAAAAAACGCAAAACGCTGCAAACACGAAGAAGTATGGATTGTTTTCCAGCCATCACATGTACTACTGCTAATGTCCCTAAAATCATGAGAAGAAACCTATCTAATGAATCAGAATTTTACAACTGGGTAACTGGACTTCCAAAGATTGGAAATCGCTCGATTATTGCATTGCAACCTGTTGCTAAGAACAACGATGCCAAGGCAGACTTACCCCCTCACCGTAAGTCAACAACGGACTTACCCTCACCCCCTAAGACTACAAACACTGAATTACCAATAGAGGATTCAAGACGTTATTCTAAAGTGTCTAATATTGTGTATAGCGTGCCGTTGTTCAGTCGAGAGGACAGGAAACTAGTCAAGTCATACAGCTTTCCTACTATTGAACAAAAGACTAGTTCCCGATCTAAAACAAATCGAAAGACTGAGAAAGAAAGCTGAAACATAACAACACTTATAACCTTAACAAAATTACTACACCTTTATTTGTACATAATTATCGATATAGGCTATTAACTTACATTGGCGTTATTTCATAACTATCAGTATGCTATAAGCCACGTTTTAAGCGCCAATTAGTGCTATATTTAGTGTCAAATGCTTGAATCAAATAATTTGTATCAAATTGAAAAGCATTTTGGTAGTAATACTATGAAATATAAGTGAAGAGTATTCATTGCTCGAACGGTCTTGTTCTTTTCAGTGTTTTCTGCTTTTTTCGAACCTTTTTCATATGCGCATTGCCATAGACATTGTCCATGTTAAAACATTTTGCTGGACAATTACGCAGTTTGACGGTTGCCGCCTCCCGATTGTTTTTGTTGTGAGTAGGTTTGCACGGACTATAACTCAGGTTCACCTATCGCAATTGTAGCAACATTTACCGCTAGACTGCACATTTTATCAACCCTCCAGTAATATGGCTCGCTGGAGTCACGTAGTCGCTTTGTCTATTAGTACATGACGCAATCTTCTGATGCTTTTCGCAATTACTACAGCTCTCAATAAACACAACTGTAACTGAAAGCCATGACTTTCTCAGCACCTCATTTTGCATTGACTGAAAAGTGCACAATATAACAGCACCTGTACGGACGAATGAGAGTACTTCATTGACCAATTAAGTGATGTTAAGAGAAACCATTGACATTCTAAAGTCATTATGTTTTGATTTTGAAGCTGTACACAAATATCTCATGAAAAGCAATCATTTTACAGGTGATTTTGTACATATATCCTACTTAAGACAATCGTTTATACAGTGGTATCCCTCGTGTCATAAACCATTTGTTTGTGGTTATGGTTGCTATACTAAACAAATCTATCGAGATTACATATTAATCCACCACTTACTATAATTGTTATTGAAATGAAATGCAGTCAAGAACAATGTGGTACCTTTATGTGAGTTTCGGAAGTTTCGTGACCTTGTCCTGCCTACTTTTCCCAAACATATTTGCTTTTCTGAAATGTAAAGTTATCCTCCACTTTTGCCTTTTCTTGTGAACTCTGTTTTCGGATGAAAAACTTTTGAAAGAAAGTAAACTGCTAGCAGCAGATCTGGGACAACTGTAACTTTTTCTTCTCTCCCTTCTAGGAAAGTTTGCTTTAAGGTGTTCTTCATGAATAAACGAACTTTTCCAAGTAGAAGAGGTATAGTTGGTATGTCCCGACATAACTGTCGTGGGGGATACAGCTCGTTTTTGACCATCACTTTCTTTTATCTTGGGCAGCATTTGATTGTGTTGTAACAAACGTTGTTTTGTAAGTAGACTGGGTCTGTCAAACGTTGATATCAGTGGCATAGATTCTCGTCTCCTTCGATGACCACTAAGCTCACCTGTTAAAGGTGTCAACCGATTTGGAGGAAGCATTTCTCGCTGATTTTTCAAGTCAATTAGTGTCTCGTCAGTAATGCTCAGTTTTTGAGACATATTGTTAAATGTGAATACATCCTGTTCCTGTTTGGATTTGAACAAATCTTTCATTGCCTCGCGATGTTCTTTACTCTCAGTTAACGATAGTAAACCCGTCAGCTTTGATTCCAAAGGATTTACTTCAGAATCAGAGTAGCTCTTTCTGCGTTTTTCGTACTCCATCTGTCTATTGCCAATACAATTTAAGTTGGAACATTTCTCCGCTAGGTTTTGTTTGTCGTAAACCATTGCTGTTAGCAAACAACTCTACTGATCTCAACTGATTCAACTGTAAATAGGCAGAAACTAAAATTAATTGCTTTCTTTGTTTAGCAGAAGTGTTTTGACAGACATATGAAAATACGTAATCCTTTCAAAGTTTGTTTAACTGGTTCAAGAAGAACCGTATACAGGCTTTGCGCAATTAAGAGTGTACCTGTACAATTGAATGACGTCAGTGTATCACAAAAAAAATCTTAAATTAGAGCAGAACAAAACGTTCTAATTGTAATCAGTCAAGGTCAATATTACATTTCAACATCGTCTAAACTTCACCTGATTGGCTGGTTACAACTGAGGCATGTCTTATCGTATAATTTAAGCTTTTCTTTTGTGCTGTAAGAGTAATTTCTAGATTGGTTTTATTGTTCCTTGTATATGCACCATCTTAATTGACTAAACGTGTATACGGAGTTTTTAACAATGATTATCTATTATCAAAGATAACAACAGGATGGACGCATCAAGAACATCTCCTGATAGCAAACAACATTTGTCTTTACCAGATCGAAGGAGAACAAATAATGTTAATGATTTTTTCAGCGTACTTCAGGGAGCAATAAGGACACTGAACGATCTAAAAACTGATGAAACAAGACGAGGTTATCACAATCCAGAAACTGCAATCTCATCGTTAGACTTTGCTGTAAATGGCTTGTCCCGAGACTCTGCTTTAGTTCTTCCTGATTTGAACATTTCACCAAGGAACAAGACATGTCTTCATAACGATACCAACACAAATGCAACAAAAACAAGACGCCGTCATTCGTTGGCAACATCAATTACTTCTCCAAGGGAACTTCCTTCAACAGCCACCAATATAACTATAGAAACACAAACACCAAGTGCAGTATTTTGGAACAATCCCGCACCTCCTGAAAACCAGCAACAATTCCGATCGTTAACTTTACCTCGAATCGATAGTGCATGTTCTAGGGAAGATACCATTGCCCATCTACCAAAAACTTACGGTAGCAAATCTGTAATGAACCAACCATTAAGAAGAAATAGACTAAGATCTCAAAGTTTGCATCCAGGTCTTGATACAATGAGTGATATTCGTGAAGTTCAATCAAAATGGCTGAAACGAAACGTTGCGCTCTTAAGGCCAAAATCCTATGGACGGCTCTTTCGTTGGAGATCAAAGATTCACACAAGGGAAAAAAACCTTTTAGAATAGTTGACGAAGAAAATACGTCTATGAAACTCGCGTAGAAATGCATGATTTTAGACATTTTAGCTTTATTACTGTCGTGCAAAGTCAAAACGATTTCAAGAGATGTGTTAAGCTGTTTATATCTAGTGTATGTCTTCATAACACCTTGGTAATGGGATTTTGAGTTATTAATTGTTCGTGTGGGGCTGATTCAGAGAATATCTTTTTTAGAACAAAGTCCGACAAACAAATCAGTTTCCAGATAAAGTGTTTCAAGTAAACACCATATTTAGCACTAATCTGCTTTAATTCCTCTTTATCCATTCCATAAAGAGCGCTAACACAAAAGTCAACACTAAGAATCACTGGATTTTTGGATGTTATATTTCGGTATTTTAGACAATGTTTCTAGTTACACGTTTTCTTTTGATAAGAAAGAGTAAAGAAAATAATCTACAGATCGACAACGGCACAGCGTTCCGACGTAGCGTCCAACTTTGGTCGCAACTTTTTACTCTTAAATGTTATTGAAAACCAACACTTTTAAAATAGAAGTTTTCTTTTTCATTTATTTATCTTGCTTTCACTTCTGAATATATGTCATAAAACCGATTTACAACACCGTTAACTTGCATTTTTCAGAATTCAAATGTAATCTCATTACTGATGTCACCAGGGACCCTTGGCAGCCATGATGGCTACAGGGGGAACAATGGTCTTAAAAGCACCAAGCAATGCCATTTATTTTGGTAACTCATTTTTGTACAAAAAAAAATAACAATTGAAAGAATATTCTATCAAAATAAAAATATAATATCCTTCCACAAGCTCTTGTTATTGACAGACTGAAATTTGGAATTTTAATGCATTTCCTTTACAGAAAATGTGTCATTGCTTTAGAGAGCTGATGTACTAATTGAATATTGCAATTAGACCATTGTTTTGTACCCACCATATAGTTGCCAGTAAGGCTGCTTAGCGTCCCTAGTGACAAGATGACATTTGAACATAAATCACTTATACTTCTATATATATAGGGATCAACATAATGTGGATAAATCAAATTAGCTGATAAAACCTGTTGGTTGAATTTGTTTCAATGAGAATCTTGACAGATTTCAATTGATGATGATGATGATGATATGGAGATGTGTGTATATTAGTTTTTCACTTATAATTTTATTTTGGAGTTTAACAGCACAGCATAGTGTGGTTACGTGCTTCGAGATAAAATCAATTATTCAAAGGAGTGCATAAATAATTACAGTAATCTCACCTTATTACTCTGTTGTTAAAAATGTTTAAGTGAGGCACTCAGCAAGATTACCGAGCTATATCATTAATCTCACCATCAGCTCGTTTAACAATTAATTTTCGCTAGCTAAAGTGGTGACCAGACAGGGGTGTTTATGACAAAAGAGGTCGTCACTCAATAATTGAGTGTCGCTATCTCTTTTGGAATGCGTCAGCCTCAATTGCATGTAAAATATGCAGTAATGCAGTGATAAAGCTTATGAGGTTTCAAACTATTTTCACTACATCCAATACTCACAGATCTCTTACATTTGCATTGTTTGTACTGAAAGTAAGTCTGACAACTAAGAAGTCATCAACATTCTATAAAAATTCAATATTCTGTTTGTATTTTCTTTACTTGTTTACTATTATTCTATTCCTATTTGAGAGAGAATGTTCAATTTAATTAAAGGTGTAGCTGAATTCTTGTAGCTGAATTCTCTGAATTCTTCATTTTATCATAATTATGATATCTTACTTTATACAATAAACTTGTTTGTGTTTCTTTGTTTTTATCTATTTCTACCTTGAACTGACTTGGTCAACCTTTCAACTAGCACAGTAAATGATGGCCATAGCAGTTTGAAGTTCTTCTTGTACCATTCCCTAAAACACAATTTGTTATCATGAATACAACAATCAAACGTTGGTGATCTGAAATACACTATGATATTTACCAAAGAAATTTCTTGTGTAAACTGTAGTTTTTGTCAAGAAAATCTTTATAGAATATTGACAGGTCATCAGCGAACTGTTTGTCTAAAGACAGCATAACTTTAGATTTTAACACCTTTTTGTATTGAATCATACACTATCTATATTATATTCTTACCACTCTCATTTTCAGTGTTCTTTCTTTCCTCTAGAAACTTCTTTTTGGACTAAAATGACAAATGTTAAAGCGAGTTAGTATAATTTGTCCCCCTGATCTTTCTCCTTTGATCACAGCTACAACCAAAAGGAGGCACATTGACAATATATACCAATTGGAAGAGGGACTGGATTATAAGCCTTAAAGTTGAAAGTAAAGAAAATCAAAGGCTAACGTACAATATACCTTATTAAAGTTATCATTGTGTTCTGCCCAGAAAGTATGCTGCCATTTGTAAGATGCTTGCTTATGAAGTCGAAGTTCTTGCTCCTATCAAGATCAAATGAGAACAACTTAAGTTAGTAACAAGATAAAAAACATACCATCACTGCATGTCACTTACTTTTCTTGTTTCATTGGTTTTCTTGGAAAAAACAACTTTTCTTAGGTTTGATACTGAGTGTGGAGGTCCTATTAGGTCATGCTCTTTTGAATCATCAACTTGACTGGACAAAGACTACGGAATATAAGCCTATTAGCAAGTAAGCTTACATGTAAAAATCAGTGCACATGTTGGTTGGCTATTAACGTACGTTTAGGTAGTTTCTACATACCCGATCTACCCCTCCACATCGTAAGACACCTAGGGGGCGTTGAAAAACCTGGTAAGACTTTTGCAAATTTGATAACGATCTCATGGTACTCATGGAGTCAAAAATCTTGTACCAAAGTCACTTTACTACTTCAAACTCGTCTGCCATCTTGTTTCCTAATGGGGTTGTTCGCTGACCACTGCAGTGCGGGCGTACATCCTTGAACGCGCAAAAATATAAACATGGAGTCGAAACCAGGTAAATTTGGCTTTTTTCGAATAGCTTTATACCGATAAGTTGATTCATTGTGCTGAATGCATTTGTTGTAGTAGAGAGTCCAAGTCATAGAAGGGAAAAGCGTGAACTAAAAAAGGAAGAAAGGCCAAGAACTGCTGAGCGATCAGGTTTGTTTTAGCTGACACAATTTCTTAGAAAGAAAAATGTAATTTTATACAGTCTTGAATTATTAAGCTTGAAGTAGTATTCATTAGTTTGTATAAGCTATAAACATTACAAAGATGGATATCATGTAAGACTATTGACAATAGTGTTTGGGTAACCTGTGGAAGTGAAAGGGCTATAGGGGGCTGGGAGTATAATTACTGATTTTGTCTGTTTTCCTTTCCATAGAAAAAAGAAAAAAAGATAGAAAAAGAAGATATTCAAGTAGTAGTTCAAGAGAAAGGTCATCTTCAAGATCGTCAGATTCTTCAGGTACTTGTATTATTTATGGTGACGTTTTGATCAACTTGATGTTTATGAATATGAATATAGTGTTTGGGTAACCTGTGGACGTGAAAGGGCTATAGGGGGCTGGGATTATCTTACTGATTTGTCTGTTTTCCTTTTCATAGAAAAAAGAAAAAAAGATAGAAAAAGAAGATATTCAAGTAGTAGTTCAAGAGAAAGATCATCTTCAAGATCATCAGATTCTTCGACAGGTACTTGTATTATTTATGGTGATGTTTTGATCAACTTGATGTTTATGAATATGAATATCATATTTTACTGATGCTAAAATGAAGTCTTCACTGCTTCTCTGCGTTTCTTTTTATCACTTTAGTTGAACGAAAAAGAAGAAAACAAAAGAAAAAGAAGGTAGGAAAAAACAACAACAGTATTTGTAAATTAACTGTAGCAACTCAACCCCATATCATCATAGCTACCCTTTGTAGCATGGGTTTGGCCTTTATTTGCTCATATTTGACAAAAAAAAAGGGAATATGGGTAAATAAACCAATCATGTATCTTAAGTTATAATGGAAATTGAAAACTCATAATTAATGTTTTTAATTAACTTTGTATAATTACTAGCACAATATAGTCTCCTTCACGGTTAGGTATGCTATTAATGGAAAGGTAGCTATGCCTTTACATCAAAGCGAGACAACCATTGAGCATGCAATGATAGATACATGTGAATAAGTGTCTGTAGGTGTGAAAGAAGGTATCTATCATTGCACGCTAAATGGTTGTCTCACTTCGATGTAAGGGCGCGACTACCTTTCAAAAGATGGCACAGGGAACCGTGAAGAAGACTATTATGATTTAACACTATAAATCATAAGAAGTATAGGTGAATACTTGGTTTAAGCTTGAAACAATATAATATCAATTTACTATTTTCAGATGAGAAAAAAAGAAAAGAAAGAAAAGAGATCTGGACCCGTTCAACTTTCAAAAGTAAGTAAGAATTGAACCCTTCCTTCACATGAGTCTTAAATGCTGAATACTGCTCTTGGTTTCTTGAAAGCTTGGATTTGAGCTGCAGTTGTGCACTGGAATAAAAAAGGTTTTTGAATTAAATATTGGCTGCACAACTTGTTGCAGTTCATGAAAGAAAAGACTATGAGCAGAAGTGCTGTTTCAGGGAAAAAGATCAAAATGAAAGTTAAAAAATCCAGTCATGATAAAAAGGTGAGTAGAATTGAAAATATGTGATCAAACATCGTCTGTAAAATAGACACTAACTATAAATAAACTGAAATTAATTTCTTTTCTTTTTGTGGTTGTTTCAGATGGAGAAAAAAAGGAAGGATTTACTGTCATTTTTGAACCAAACCATGTAAATTGTATATATTTATTTAGTATAAACATACTAATGGTCTATCACTCATACTGCGCTGTGATTGGCTACTCTACTGATGGTCTAATTTGTGATAGACCACTCGCGGGAAAATCAAAATAAATAAATTATAAATTATAAATCATTTTAAGGATATTTCAATTTTTTTCATTATTTGACCAATTAGTATGTTTATACTAAAACAATTAGACCTCTCGGCCTCGTGGACTACGAGCTAATAGCCCATTCGGCCATATAGCCTCATGGGCTATTAGCTCGTAGTCCACTCGACCTCGAGGTCTAATTGTTAATTTTTTTGATATATATATACGAAATATCAAACAAAAACTAGCTTTTGACGGAATGTGTAGGTTCAATATTTGATATCATAAAACTTTCTCAAATTCATGAATAGCTTTGAATTTTAATATGAGGATAAGTCTGGATTTTCTGCTCTGAACATTACCCTTGTTTTAAAAATCAATTGTTAAATCAAAATTATTCATGAATTTGAGTAGTATCAAAAATGCCTGTCTTTCATTAGATGTCCAAAGAAACCTTTTTGAAATATGACACCATATTAAACATCGTGTTTTATAAAGTTGGTCCTTCCCTGTACAATTATGCAGAAATATGTGAGCAGAAAGTATAAACACAATGTACAATGGTAAAAAATACAAGGAATACTTTATTCAATACAATTTTCTAATATCACTATAAGCTACAAGTACAAAAATAATTGAAAATTCAATAAATCACTTGAGTATATATTTATAATTATTTTTTCTCAAAATCTTTCACTGACTTATGAGCAGTTGTCAGTTCAGATAATAGTCATTTGGACTTCAAACTTTATAATTAATCAAAGGATCTTGAGGTTGCTGGATAACCCAGCAATGCCTCACCACAGGAAACCCATAAATGGTTTTTGGTGTAAGTTGCTGGGCTGCATGATAATAACTTTGACTGGAACATCATCAAATACCAGATACATGACGTTCATGTCTCGTCATCATCTTCCAGTTCTTTGTCCAAGTTGAGCAGGAAATCTTCCAGATCAGCACAGTTCCTAAAAATCATATATCATTCAATAATCATAGCAACTTCTCTAGTGAAACTATGGCAACCAGTTACTATGCTAAAGTACCCATAGCAGCAACGGAATTATTATATATATAATATGGAAACCATAGCAGCCACATCATGGTATCAATGGTAACTACTTCATAAGAAATGCATTTGTATTTCCTGGTAACTAGCTTTTAATGGAAATACTTCTAATATTCAACATACGTTTTCCCATCTGGAGGCATGGATGAGGTGCTACCTCTTGGTACTGGTGTCTGGTGTGGCACAGGAGGAGGACTGGGCTCATCTAATTCATTCCTAGAAAACCTGCTGAACAAAAATACAGTAAAACTAAACCCTGCACGTCTTGTCTCGATTTATTTGACTTATTGGTTCAACCATATATCGGATTACCGCGGTTCACTGACAAAGGATTTTTCATTACCATCCACCAATTGAAAATAGAACAGATCGCTTGTCAATTAACCATCAACATGGCCACCTGGATGACATTTGATAACCAGCAACTCACCACCGAACTTTATCAACTAAGAACACCAACTATTAGCATTGTTTATTTGTTTGCAAGTTGGTAAGTGTTTTATGGCAGTTTATGATGTTTATTTGTTTGCAAGTTGGTAAGTGCTTTATGGCAGTTTATGATGTTTATTTGTTTGCAAGTTGGTAAGTGTTTTATGGCAGTTTATGATCATAAGTTTACCTCTCCTCGTTACCATGGTCATCACCGTCTTGGAATTCATCTTTTTCATTTTTCAAAACTTCAAGCATCTCAACCAGTTTCTTCTCAAACGATCTTGGCCGAGATGTTTCTGGTAACTGGCCGTTAACGAATGGTTCTGACTCGTCTGTTGGCTGCTGATCGTCTGTTGGAGCAGTTTCTACTGGTAATGCTTCTTCTGGTTTCATCTCTGGTTGATGCGGTTCCTCTTTCTTGTCTTCACTTGAAGCAGGTTTATTCTTTTTGCTTGTAGAACTAATTCTGCATGACAGGGAACGAGAATGAACATTTATCAAACCAATAGAATGGTTTCAGTAGCACTTCTCGGATTACATTATATGTAATTAGCGGCAAATTTCAATGTAATGCGGTCTTTTTAGAGGTATACTTGATACAACCGCCATAAACACACATTATACTGACTACTGCGTACCGCGGCCTCAGCTTTTGATTTTCTTTATCTACATCACAGTTAGTATAGATCGATGCTTAGTAATTAAGATCAGGAAACAATATTAGCTAACCAAGCTATAATTTCTGACTTGGTTTCGATGGTAGTGAGGTGGATTGTTGTATGCTTTGTGCCTATGAATTGATCATGCAGTTATTGTTTTTAGTGTATAAGTGAAGTGGACGGTTCAGAGCGGTAGCCAGAAGGGAAATCTTAAGTCGCCAACGACGCCATTAACATCACAATACGCTACACTATCCAGTCAGATTGTTAGAAAAAAGTAGGCAAGCATTTCAAGTTAGTTATAATATTAGCTGTACCTAATAGGAAGAAAAAAACACGAAAACTTGCAAATAAAGACACTCAAAATTTTTTACTATCATACCATTCAAAAATACTTAATTTAGATTGCTAACCGACGGAAACGAACTGATAAGTTTCTAACAAATTCCGCGCTGTTTTTGTCAGCCATTGGCTACAGTCCCGACACTCACTTTATTTCTCTTATAGTTGGCGATCTTTTGTGATGTTCAACGTCACTCTCTCCTGCACCGTCACAGCTGGGCTGACGAACCATGATGTGTGGAATAAGTAAAGGACTAAAAACATGGAAAATATTTAAACCGAGTGAAACTATATGAACAAATGACGTCATGTGCAATCAACCACTGACTTACGGCGGCTTTGTTTTTACAGAAGAATCGTCTGTAGGTTCAGGTGCAGTCTGCAAAGTAGCTGATTCTTCGTCCTCTTTGACATTAGTCATCTTCTCGCTATCATAGAACAATACACGTTTTAGCGACGCCCTCTTCGCAGTGCATTCCAAGACAGCAATGCATTGTTGTTAATTAACACCACGTTAGCTGCGTTACAAAATGACAATTCTAAACTTTATTGCCTTCTATTGAAATCCCATTTGTACAACTATAAAACGACCAACAATGCATTGCACTCTTGGAATAAACTATCAATGCTGTCTGAAATAGCTCCAAAAAAGCTGAAAACGAATGAAAACATAGATGCCATTCATTTTCTTCTGTCTGTCTTTTTCAAGTCGTTTGCATGAACAGAAAACACAGTTTCAGAGATTGTTTTCGTACCCTGTTTCCCCTGCGTTAGCTGTTCCTCCAAAGATCATATTCAAAGCGTCTCTCAATAGAACCGAAGCAGGACGAGAAGGAGGTTGGTGACCTACAGGAATATCTTTCTTATCCCTCATGATAACTAACGGGACTTCTTGTTCTTGGATAACAACAGATGATGGACGAGAACTTCGAGGAGTCCTGATGTACGACACTGGCCTGAAATGACAAAAAATCTTAAATGGCACTGAATAAATACGAGAGGAAAATGAAAAATTACAACAAAACATTCATGTTTCACTGTGAAAAATGGCCATTTACACAGTTTGTGCTTATTTCTGTGTTAGGCAAGTTTAAAAAGTATTATGGGTTATTTTCCCGGGTTGCTGGACACGTCATAGCCGCCATTATGAATGAATCCAACATGGCGGCAAGAGCTTTAATGTTTCTTCTTTCCTAAGGGATGAAGTCGCAACCCAAGAATAAGAAAATTAAAGCCATACCTAACATTAATATTGGGTAATTCTTTCATGGATTTAGTTATTAATAGTTAATTATCTTACTGGGCAGCATTACAAACTTTATTTTTGCGCAAAGACAAGTATCAACAGCGTTAGTATGAGTACTTATGATCACGTATGAGTGTCACGTGGTATATCATGTGACCTCGTTCACTTACTTCTCGGCTAGCTCAAGGAGCCTTCCAGCGAATGACCTTTTGGTAATGGCAGAAGGTTCTCTGTCGGAAACAACCGTATGGTTTTATTGAAACGTGAGGGTCTACAAACAACAGTGACAAGCTTGCATCCATGGACTAGCTGTACTGTGATTGTCCCCGCACAACATCGATATCAACAACAACTTGCAGTCTTATAGTAGTGAGCGTCTACACTCTACAACACTCGAACAGCTGTAATGGACGTGCGTGTGTACAAGACAGCACGATGATTGAATGAAGACACTAGACACTGAACTACTATACAAAACAAACAGCATGCAAGGTTTCCTACTGTAAAACTCACATGTTTGGAGAGCCCCCCTGTGTCTGTGTTCCTGCCTGCCAGTGTTTTGCCATGTCACCATATAACTTTTTCATTCTAGATGAAAACAACTTGTCTGTCATTTCTGAACACATTTCAAATGTCCCTAATCGGTCCTGATAAGTACTCTTTTTCACAATTCACTTTTTTTTCTCTAAAGACTGTTTTTAATATTAAGAAATTAATCATGACAACAATTTTTTTTGTTGAAAAAATCTGTAATAACTCTCGAAAATGAGGAGCTATGAAAGCTTACCGAATCTCACGCATGCTCTGTTTCTTCTTTTTCTTGAATCTGTTTTTGGTGCGTTTGGAAATCTCTTCATATCTGACGAGATCAAATCAATTGTAAGACATCAGACGTCTTTTTACCATCTTTGTTTTGAGATGGACAAAGAAAGGGACTGGTAATACCCCTCGCCCCATTCTTCCTCTCTCGATTCTTTATGATATTGAATGATGTAAATCAATGGCTCGCCTAAGGTACTGGCTTGTATTCTTAGTGTTCATGTTTTCAAAAACAAGACATTATCCTGATTTAGCGAGATATCAGGAAGAAATCCGGGCTTCACCGGAGATGCGTACTTTAGGTCCGAGGGTACAAACACAGTGCTATGTCAAGTGCAAATGAATACACCGATGGATGTGCATGTCGCATGACACTGATGCTTCGCTGGTTTAATGCTTTCGATATGAAATTAGAATTTGAATGAACGAAAGTCATTGATAAATGTATTGGAATCAGTTCTAGTGCCGTTTTTGTCTATCTTGTATGTGATTTGGGTCACGTGATAGTACAGGTGGAATGTTTTCATTAAACTACATCGGTTAATCGGGTTAAATTGATTTGATAAGAGAATTAAATTATTAAAACGTCGGAAAACAACGAGTCAGAAGACTAGTAATGCAGTAATCTGTATGAGAATTCTGATTCGGCAGATAAAAATGAAAATTTCTTTTAAAGTGAATCTTTTTCAAGAATTCAAACTTGTCCGTTTGATAAAAAATCGAATTCGTATCTTATCCCTAAAATCTGAAGGACTAACCAAGCTTTAAACAATCACTTCACCATAATTACAAAACAACCAATATACTTTCCATGAAGAACGGCGTGGTTATGGGCGTGGTCCCAAATGAAGGGAGGCCTGGGAAGGAGGTTGTACAACTCTTCACTTTCTCAAAAGATTCGTTGTTATGATTGTTTAACCTGAGCACAATGCGAACCATTGTCTAAAGTTATCGATTCCGTCAAATCGAAAATACGAAATCGTCTGAGAAAGTCAAGTTCCCAATGCACTCTAGTCAGTTGAGAGATGCATGAAAGGCGCGGACTCAAACACAAAGTTAGTTGACTGTTAAGTATATTTTTATAACACGATATTATCAGTACTATTTGTAACTGAAAGCACTCCGTTTTGGATCCGCGCCTCCAGGACTGCGATAAATGTTGAAACTGAAAACATACTGGTTGATTGACAAATCAGATACCACGACTTCTCAACTCGTGTAATCCATAGCAAGAAAGTGTAGAATTCGACAAAGAGTACCTTATTTGCTCCTTATAATACCTGAGGCGCTCTTTTTGATCTGAACGGAACTGCCACCAAGCTATGGATGCTACCACACCCAGAAATATTAGAATAATAGGAATCGACGGTCCAAGTACGATGGCATCAGGGGGGTCAGCTTCCTCCTCCTCCTTCTTTGCCTTTTCTTCATCCTCGCGATATGTAACAACTACACCACTGGTATTTGAGGGGGATGCAGACCTCCTTACCTTTCGTGACGTTACTTCTCGCTTGACGTCAGAGGTTAGTTTGATTGGTTTTATATTGGAGGGAATGTCCTGTTTTGCCGATCGTGATTTAATGTTCTTTTGTTGACGTTTTTCAAACCAGAATTTTAAAACAAAACCACTGCCTTCGACCAAACTATTCCTTCGAAAATGAACCTGGACCTTATTAGATGCTATTGAAATAACACCCACCGGATTATGCCCCTCGCAAAATCTCTTGGAATAACTAAGGAGACCACGCTGATAGCTTTGTATTTGTACGTAATCACATCGGCACCTTGAAACATCGCACAAGGTACCAGATTTTACGTCAAACTTATTGAATTTCAACTTTATCCAGGAATTTGTAGGTGCCTTAATAAACCAGGTACATCTCGTGTTAGCAGAATATTGGCCATGGTATCCAGGACTTGAAATTATCCCAGGACCCTTGAGTAGCACCTGCTCGAAAGGACATCCAGCAGATCCTGCGAAGACATAAGGCATTGACTCGTTAATTTCTAATTCTCTTCAAACGTTCATCCGGTTTTTGATTCCTTTTCAATTTCATCCATTCATTTAATCATCCATTAACTGGGATCTATTAATACATTCACTGATATTTTTTTGATTTTTTATCTGCTCGATTGGGAAAGTCATTTCAAAACGACATGCATACGCTAATGAACTAGTTTAGTTAGAACCCATTTATATTTTTTGTTGATCAATATTTGAGTGACGAGAGCTTTCGGATTTTAATGAAGTCATCTCTCTCACGGTTTTCCTTCCGGTTTCAAAGGGTTGGTGATTGTCGACAATTGCCGATCAAAAACAGCAAACAAGTGAATAAATCGTTTTCAAAAACTACAACTTGCTTTGCGATATTGATTTCCATTCTAGTTTTCATTCACTTTACATGCATTTTTCAGTATTTCAACACAGGTGCTATCATACACTTTTATCAGTCTTAATTGATTCTCGATTTTATCTGACCAGTTAATTCATCTATTCGATTTTACTGTTCATTAATTATGAAATGTGGCGGTGCGTAGGATGAGCGCTTGATATGATAAATTGTCCTCAACTAGGCAGTCATTCAGTCAAACATCCACCCATGCTAGTCAGTTACAAGATTATATCTAGAGAATGTATGACAATCACTCACTCTCCAAAAGTCAATTTTGCATAAAACGCACCGCCGTGTTCGTTTCTGCTGTTAAATGAAACTGAAAACATGAACAACAATTAATTGGACTAAAGCGATTCTACAATATTATCCCCGATTAGGTTCATGAATGATACAATTAGAAAACTTCAAGAAGATATAGTGTTCTACAGAAATACAGCAGTTATTCAGCCTGTCGCGACAGAATGATAGCATTTTCACCGACTCGCGTGCCTGTTGACCTCTAAAGGGTTATTCTTTTTTCGATCGTCCTTCTCCAATACAAATTGTTTTTATCCAAATGAGAATACAAAATTTGAAATCTTCACTTTTATCGATTGTTTTTTGTTGACTTAATGATTACTAATAAAGTAGTGTAGTTTTAAGCGACGTCTATATATTGATATATGCTGATGCAGGTTGCAGACGTTAATAAACAACTAAATTGAAACTATTTTCGGCTTTGTAGGAAACTTCATTTGTATTGATGAAATACCACTTCCGATCGAGGAACCTTTAGAACTGTGAAAATTAGCCGTGTTTGTAAATACTGACATTATACACTGTACATGATAAAGAAAAAATAACACACGAATTCAATGTTTAGTTGCGAAACGTTTATTCAGACTATTACAATGTCAGCTCACGTTGATTGCGTGAAACGGACTAAATTGAGTAGTCAAAGTAGGCACGGCGCGGAATTGCATCATAAATGTCGGTTTAAGTAAATAATGAAAGAAAACATAATCTAAAACTTGTCAACTTACCTTTTTTCAAAGCAAAGGGTTTTGCTGTGATAAGAGTAAGCAGTAGAGCGAGACGTCCCGCGAATAGTGCGATATCACTGTACAAACCGCGTCCTGCCATAATTTGCGGTGAGGTTCAAACTCAGTGCCAACTCTCACATTAACACTCACTCGAACATTTTGCTAAAAACGTGTGAAAAAGAATGAATTAATGGAGAATTGATCAACGATTGTGAGAAGTGGTTATGAATTATGTGAAAACTAAAGCAGCTTTGTGCCAATAAGACGCAGGCTATACACAGGGTAACGGCAGAGAATCTATCGGGACGTCACTCGACTGACGAGGATGCTTGCATCGGGCGTCAATATATGAAGTCATTTGTCAATAAATGCACATCTTTTAGAAGAGTCATTTTGACGGTAGTCAATTTTGTATTGCAAGATCTCTGATAATTATGACCAAACCTCGTACTCACCACCCAAGCCAGTCGGTTCAAGGACGATGTTTAGGCGTGTAGTCTGTTATCCAAGGTTTGATGACCATCGTTCATTTTTACTGATAAACTGTATATTATCAACTTATAAACATGTTATATATCGCAAGGTGGTTTTTATGAAATTACTTCAATGTTTCAAAGTCATATACAGCGAAAAGGCTTGTGCTGTTCGAGTACATACTAGTATTTGGATTGAATGACGTGACACGGCAATGTCACGCTATCTTTTGGAATTTTTTTATTGCTAAAATAATATTCAGAACGTTAAGATAGATCTCAGTGGGAATTGTGTAGGTGTGTATGAATTTATTCAACCCATTCATGGCTTTATTACCGATATTTACCAATATGTTCTCCGAGAAGCGCGCCTTTGCGTGGGAAGTTATAGGAACAGGAAAATATATTCAATATACGAAAAAAAAAAACACAAAAAAGCATACCACTTGACTATGAAGGAGGATGAAAAAAAATTAATGTGGTGATGTTGGACATTGAAGGCATATTTCATTTAGATAGCATCACTTTTAAACAAACGGATTCAAACCTTGACTGCTTCTGGAAATGAAATCCTGCGATTTTTCTTACTTGTCGCGGATAGTCCTCAAAAGAGGTAATTTGCAAACGGATGAACTACGAATAGCTTAGTAGGCAAAAATAGCACCATAAGAAAGCATGATAAGTGCATTTAATCTGTCACAAATAATCCGGCTAAAAAGTTAGCGTCCGTGATAGATTTCCCTATCGTTTTCTATTGTAAATTGGTCTTTCTTACAGCCGGTCAAGGTTCTCTAGAAAAGATAATACAATTGTACATAAAGCAAAAAACGAATTTATAATGCTTGCCGCGGTATAACTTAGGACATGATCTTGTAGTATTAAAAAGAATGATTTCATTATCGTCATTAAATGCAACTGAGTAGGAATTGCTCATGACGAAAAGGCACAATAAATCTATTTTACTGCAGGCCAGTTTTATCATAGATGTCCATGAAAAGCAAAAAAAACTGAAGCTTTATTCATTGCAATACCAAGAAAGGAACAAACTATAGATTGGAGATTGTGTACAAATCCTCTCATTGTTGAAGTTGCGCATGCGTCACATGATTTGATTGCGAGCTACTTTTCTTTTTGTTGTAAACCCATTTTGCCCCAAGGTGATTGTGGAGAACGAGCAAATTACATTACTACCTAACCACCAACCTCAGATGTTCGTCTTCTTACTAGCGCCAGTAGTCTACACTAAACAAAACACTTTAGCATTATTTCAACTTCCTTTATAGATAAATCGAGTATAACTAAAAAACTTACCCTTGCTTTCAACGATATAAAAATTCGGGCTTGAACATCTCAACGCAACTAGTTCGAACTTCTTTTGAGAGCTTTCTCTATTTCCATGGTGACATATGGTCTTGTAACTTGCGATAACATCAAGTAAGCGGTTGTAAACCAATGGCTCAATACGCGGCAAACATTGGTACAATGGCTGCATCAACTCAGCGCTTGAAGTTGACACACAGACCAATCACGAGTGTTCTAATTGCACAGAATGTTACTGTGTATCAATGAAAAGTATTCAATTACTTGGCGGATATGAAAATCAATCATTGTACTTGCGTTTTTTTGCATTTTCAAACTCGCTAAGAATGAATTTCATCTATTTTAACGTAAGAAGGCTGACCTTGGAAAACATTAAAAAATCGTGTATGACATGGATATGGATGATTATATGCCTAAGGACATTTGTTAGAATATATCTTTTACGAGACCTTTTAATTCTGTCTTTAGGACATGAACGTATGTATAATTCGATATTAAGCAGATATCGGACAAGGTCTTGATGATCTGATATTTTCCACCGAGTGGCAATCAGAGCGCGCGTTATTACATCGATCAAATATATTCCATTCTGAAAAGGTAAATACATGGAAAGATTATCAAATAAACAGTTAAATGATTTCGTCGAGTGAAAAAGGACTTGAGAACGAGGTTGATTGAATAGTTAGCAGAAAAAACTCAAAAAAGCAAAAAGCAAATAAAAAACAAATGAAAGACAAAAAGAAACAAAAAAAATCGAGTAGTTTAAAAGAAAAAAAGCATAGGTATATGAACGAGAAAAGAGAAAACAACCTTGTTGGGATTCGAACCCTTGATCATAAAATTGAAAAAGAGATTGGGACGATTCCCCCGAGACATTCTGTGAAGCTGAGGCGTCGAATCGATTTACATTCCGGTTAGAGATTTCGGCTCTTCCATGCTATCCCGATAATTGGTCCTAACTTCGCGCTAACTAAAAAGCCAGTGAGGGAGAAGCTATCCGGCCCCTAGACACTGATGGATAACCCCTTGCACTAACTAGGCAACTATCGAAAGTATAATGTCAAATTGGGGTAGTCTATTCGGTGAAAGTGTCAAGTGGTCTATTATTATGTAAATGAATGTGGTACTGTGGCGCGTACTGTTAAGGCGTTGCGTACAAATCCGATGGTGGCGAAGTGGTTGCGGGATCGAGTCCCAAGGTTGCATGATGAATCATATATCAAAATTTTGTGTTGGAATATTTTTACATTTGTATTCAACTTCTTTTTCCTTTGATTTGTTCCATTTTTATTGTCACAGTTCATATTCATAACAATAAATTTTAATTTTATTTTTGTAAAGCGCACTTCCTGTCGTTTCATCTTTCTGGGCTACCTGTGTACTGGTAGTCTGATTTGTCAGCGGTTATGCGTGGAAAACAAAATGGCGGAAGCAAAGTGATGTTTTTGTTTATTTAGTTTCACAGGCTTTACAAGGATTAAAACACGGTAAAACAAGGTTTAAATCTTTTCTAAAAGAAAGAGAAAAAAAGGGCCATTCTTCTTCGTTACGAGATGGAAATTGAAAGCGTGAAGACTGCAGTTGACGAGCTCCACAGGCTAAGTTTGTGTGCACGCTGTATTTTGCGATTTATAGATGAAAGAAACTCTTCATTGTATGAAGGAGACTTTGAGGTAAGATGACTGTTTATAATTCTTGAGGTTACAGGTAACGGTATAGCAACATTGTTTCTCCACTAGATTGACATCCATGAACAAGATGCTCATAGATCGCGTACATGGGGTTCCTGTGATCGACAATGTCATAAACCGTCAATATTTATTAATTTTTTGCCCGAGATGCTTTATCAAAAGCTAAAAGCTCTCTGTCCATCACTGTACTCGTCTACCTTCCAAATGCTCTCTCCTGCACCCACTGGTTGAGAAATGTTTTCTAATGTATATATAATTATTATCCTGGAGTCTATAAAAAAGGTCTCAAAAACCCAAGTTAGTTAAGTTAATTTGGAGTCTTTTGATTTGTAGGCAGTTTCTGAATATGTTAGTAAAARGTATTCTTTAGATGAACCATGTTTCGACAAGGAAAACAACAGGAAAAAAGATGACCTTTCTGTAGATGATGGTCTGTGGTCCTGCACAGCCTGTCTTGGAATTCTTAATTGTTCTACTGTAAAACAGGTAAGCCACAGTTTTTTTAATTAAAAATGACTATAATTATATTGCTGCTAAGCTCAGCTGTTTTAGATTGCAGATGCTGTTGAAAATTCAGAGTTTGAATATGGAAGTTTTACTTTGTCTTTGTCTATTCCCTTATGCTGTCTTGTTAGACAGGTATGTGTATTTTAACATTCATTTATGCATCGATTCTCATGATTACATTCTTTGATCCTGTTATCAATCCTTTGCTTCTCCATCTACCGTTCATCCATCCAACCAACCATCTATTCAACTCACTTCCATTCAACCATCCATAATTATATTCTCATTCAACTATCTTTCACAATCATTTGTTCATTTATTTTTGAAATTATTTTCAGCATTCAATATTTTTGTATCTAAAAGAAAAATTCAGGTAGGTCATAGACACTCATACCCAATCCTCTTTTCCCATGTCTGGACTAGTACAGTACACAGGTAGTCCAAGAAAGGCTATAACTATTCAAAGTATACAACCATGTTGCTTCCTCTGCAGGGAACCTTACAACTTTTTAAACTTACATTGGGTTTTCTTTGTTGTGAAATGAACATAATAAGTTTGATGGCAGAGAGCCTGATGGAAGATACGACAAAGATAATTGTTTTAATTGTTTCTTATAGTGGTATATATGCAGACAAGAAGACTGTAGATTCATTACCGTCCATCAAAGAAGTTTTTAAGTGGGTGTGTGGACCACGACTGGGTGAAATATTGGGTGTCTACTTTCAACACGAGGTTAGTTGTTATACCTAAAATATTTCTTCAATCAAAAAAATTGTTTTACAGCTCCTCCCATTCTCTGGCCACACACTATACATCACTGGTCACATTTGCTGAAACCCAACAGTAGTGGACAATAAGACATTATTACTTATAAATGTCAATTAAGCAATTGGTAAAGCAAAGAGCTTTTTTTTTTTTTGCTTTCTTTATATGAAGAGTCCATTCCAGATTTCTGTTCAATTTGGACACAACAATGGAAATGATGAATTAGAATTTTTGTAAGTATTGAGAGAGATTTTTGAATGATTGACAGCTAAGAATGGATTGATTGCCATTATAATAAGTATTGTTTTTCATTACTATAATAGAACAGACTTCGATCCACTACAATTCAAAGAAAGAAAGGTTAAAAAGGTATACAAGAGTATGAATTACAAAATATTCATTTTGGTCCTGGTTGTTCCAGGATTTCACAGGATTTAAGTGGGCTCACCAGTTTATTTCATCAAGTTATGATTTCTATTTCTTTGAATTTTAGAGAGCACCCAAACCAGTGATCTACTCAATAACAACAGTCAAGAAAGCACTAGAGGAACTTGACACAGCAGACAAGCTTAGAAAGTAAGTGATACTAAGACAATAGGAAAGTCAGTGAATGAGCAAAGTAGAAAAAAATTGGATGGAAAGCAGAAAAGGAGAAAAGAATAAGTTTTAAGTAAATAARTGAAGGAAAGAATCAAGGGAAAGCACACTAAAGGAAGGTTACTGTATTGCTGTAATGTAACCAAAAATCCAATACATTTCAGGTTTACATTCTGTCCCTCCAAGGTACCAAACTACAAAAGTTTCTGTACTCAAGTATCTTGTACTCACAATTCATTGTTATTGGCAGGTAATTAATAATCTCTAATAAAACCTATAACCATTTTATTCATGAGCTTATTTCTTGGGGACTAGAGTGAAAACCAATCCTTGTTTTCCTTCTCAGGTCGGTATAACAAATACTCAAGACGTCTACCACAGACTCCATGGTTGATTGAAGGGGAGCGCATGCTTGAATCTTCAGTACAGGTAACATGATCTCGTTGATAATTAACAGACAATTATTCACCAGTATTAATGAATTGCAACTCTCAAGTGCAATCAGACTTGGTTATTTTCAACTCGGGGACACCAAGACAATGTCCAGGAACTGTAAAACTGTTTTACCTTATTTTACGATAAAATTCACATGAAAACGTCATATTAATAATTGATAATCACTATCTTTTTTGTTACTAGGAAAAGATATGTGATGTTATTGAATTAAAGATCAAAGCAGATGGTAAATGTAACTCTTAATAAAACTTATTTTGATCCAAATATCATCTTGTTTTATTGCTGTGTTCTCTTTTTAGACTATAAATTTTCATCTGGTGGAAGAGAAGATGTTGATGTCTGTATGTTAGGCACAGGTAGACCAACCACCCTATTCATGAGATTGTGTATAATATAAATCACTATTACATTTTTTCTATTGTCTTTTTTAGGTCGGCCATTTGTAATAGAGTGCATAAATCCTCGTAAAACAAAGTTAAGCCGTGAGTTTTTGTCTGACTTGCAAAAAGAAATTAACTCTTCATCACAAGATATTGCAATAAGAGATTTACAAGTTGTTACAAAGTATGTTTTTCCTTAAKTTTTTATTGGGAATTAATTAGACTCTTGCAATAATTTTTGCTTTATTTTTGTGTTCTTTTAGAAATGATTATAAAACGCTGAAGGAAGCAGAAAACACAAAGACTAAAACATACAGGTACAAGAGAGGATGTTATTTGACACTGTTTTAAAGATGTACAGATTATTATTTTCCATGTCATTCCTGATTATTCTCTCGTCCATGATTATCATTATCATTATCATTATCATTACTTATCATTATCATTATCATTATCATCATCATTATCATTACTTATCATTTTGCAGTGCTTATGTCTCACTTGTCTTGCATTTACTAATTTGTTATATAAATGTTTATCAAGCTGCCTGGTTTGGACAGAAAAAGAGATTACTAATAAGCAGTTGCTGCCATTACATGATATCAAGGTACAATTAGAGATTCACTAGTGTTACTTCTGTTATAAGATGAAAATCCACTAAATGTGGCAACAAAAATGTCCAATGATTCTATGTAGGACCAAATGCATTTTACATATGTCACATCTTTGCTTCAGTTTCTAACAATATATCGCCTGATGATATTGACTTATATGAAGGTTGTGTAAATACTGAATAAGACTTAGAGAGAAGGAAAATAATGAATGTACACGCTCTTATTTTAGTGTTATCAGTGTGCTCTTAGCAAAATGCGGGTTGCCTGTGGTATTACATCAATGATCCCTTGCCTTGCGGGATCAAAAACTAGTCTAGTCTGTCACAGACTAGTGTTTGATCCCATGCGATCATGCATGATGTAATACCACAGGTAATCCACATTTTGCTTAGAGGTGTGCCTTTAACATTCGTTCTTTTCTTTCTCTCAAGCAATAGTCGGGCAGCCTATGAATAGGAGCAGTTTATGTTGTTTCACGTCATCATTGCATTTTGATAGGATTTAGTGTTAAAACAGAAAACCCCCCTAAGAGTTTTACACAGGTAAGGCATGAGTACCATGCATTGCTATTTATTTTCATAAGCATGACAAACATGGTTTATTACCAGGAGACCTGTGGCTGTCCGTGACAAAGTTGTTCATAACATGAGTTGCAAATGGATAGATGACCATCACTTTAGATTGAATCTCAAGACAATGGCTGGAACGTATCCTTTAAAATCTGTCTTTCTATGCTGTTGTTACTAATAAAAGTAATTGTTCAAAGGATAGTTTATTCTGTGTTAGGATTTTTCAAAAAAAGAAGGCAAAATGTCTGAATATTTCCTTTAACTAGGCAAAGATATGTCAAAGAGTTTGTACATGGTGATTTTGGACGCACTAAGCCCAACCTAGGAACATTGTTGGAAATGCAGACAGACATTTTAGAACTTGACGTACAGGTATGATGACGACATTGATTTGGTAGTACTTTGATTACTGTTAATCAAAGCACCTTTGTAGTAATATAAATGTATTGTCGACTTCTCTTTTTATTATTTCAGTCAGTTGATGTGGACTGGCCTCCATCTCTTGGTCAGGAATGATCACATCTTGAAATTGGATCTTACTGCTATCATGAATAGTAAATCAATTTTTACGATGTTATATTTATAGGAAAAATAATTATTAAAATGTGTTTTATAGCATGTTATGTCTCTCTGTAGTCTGCTACTGTGAGGTGTTGACGTATGAAAATCACTGAGTTTGCTTGAGACTGTGAAATTGTTTACAGTTTGAAGGAAAAGACTCTTACAGGAAACAATGGCTTATACTGCAATGTTTCAACTTCCCTTGCCATGTACAAAACAAAACACAAAATCCTTTGAATAACATTTAATCCACAAAATAATTTGCACTATTTTAATATTTTACACTTTGTTAAAATATGCTGCCAGGATTAAAAAGACCTCTTCAGCTTTCCTTCCTTTGGTTGTTGATTCCTTGGGTTTAAACATCTTTGCACTACAATTACCTTGTATCTACTCTATCAGGCTTCATTTAGTGACAATTGTTCTCAAAGGGGTTTTGAGGTGGCCACCTGGGAGAAGAAGAGTCAAAATGAAGGCAATCGAGACTACAAGGATTACATTTCACTATTTTATATTAGCATCATCACACAAGGACCAACATACTTTCCATACTAAATACTAATATAATACTAAATTCTAAATCCTCCAATATTTGTGAGAGGTGCAACATTGGATAAGCTTAATCAATTAATTTTCTACTGAAATAACAACAAATTAATGATATTTTTTTGTAAACTACTTCTACAATGTTGTACCTTAGTGCTAGTTACTGCATGTTACATGACTACATGGGACAAGCTCTTTGGCTTCAAACTAAGTAGTTCTCATGATCTTAACCATCATGTTTACAGTAACTTTAATGTATTTACATTGTTTTAAGTCATTTGTATTCACATACAAAATAATAAAATTTGTCAGATAAAAATTATGGTAAAATTATTTTTTCTTATAAGAATAAGAAAGTGTTTTTGTTATTAAATTATTTCGCAAAGAAGTTTTCTTAGCAGATTGCTTTGTTTTTGCTGGACTACCATATCTGTCAGGGGTTCGAGGTGTTCTTGTGCTTCTTCTTGAAGGTTTTGGTGTTTTACCAAACAAGACGGCATCTGTCTCACTGTCTTGCATTTCTTTGTGTGTGATCATAGCCTGGTGAAGATCTTCTGTTTTTGTTTGCAAAGATGGGAATTTCTGGAAGGAAACGACAAATAAAATACTAAGTATTCTTCATTTGTTGATAGAAACAGTTCACATAATGAGTTACAATGATTTCTGTTGTGAGTTCACCTTGGTAAGAAGAGCTTGTTCTGTCATTGCAGCTTGTAGTCTTTGTGTACAATCACTTTCATCTGCAATTAAAACCATTCATTTATTAATTTACTGCTAATTCATAAACAGTAAACAACAAGTCAGTAGAATTAAATTGATCAAAACCTACATCTATTGTACAACCAACATGTCTTACATACAACCAACATGTCTTACATACAACCAACATGTCTTACATACAACCAACATGTCTTACACACAACCAACATGTCTTACATACAACCAACATGTCTTACATACAACCAACATGTCTTACA